AAGGTTGAGGCTTTGACTGTTTCTCAGAGGAGACCTAACACTTACAGTGCTGAATGAGGCCATGGCATCGATGCAGAGTTCCCAAAACCCTTTCCCTTGTGTGGAGAACAGGACCCTGCAGCACAGGAGGGACTGATGGACGTCCCTGGGTCTCTAAAATGGTGCTGTCACACTGAACACCAGTGACTTGGGCTTCACAGGATGCTGCTGGCTGAGGCCCTGAATCAAAAAATTGGACTCGGGTCTGATGAAATCATGACTGTCTGGAAAATCGCTCCCTGGCTCAGCTTGGTTTACAGCAGCAAAATTTGCTTTCTGTGCATTTAGGGTTGCGCTCAGAATTGAGGTCGTTGGTGCGTGTGTGTTCCTCTGCCAGGTGCAGCCCTTTCCCCTCTCTTTGGTGCGAGGTGGGTGGATGGAGAAGCAGCTCGTTGCCAGCAGTGGTGGCTGCTAGCACTGTGCCAAAAACCATCAGAGTCTGTCTCGCTACAGGGTAGGTGGTACGAGCTCTGCCGAGAGCTGAGGCTGAGTGGTTTTCCAGAGGCAAAGTCACTTTGCTGGACTGGAAGCATGCAGTCATGGAGGGAAGAAAACAGTATTTTTAGCAGAGGAAAGCAATCTTCCCTCTTCCTTGTGGGGCCCTAGAAAGCGTTGTGCACAAGAGTTGGCTTCTTGGATATTCCTAAGTACTGCATAATTTTAGGTATATATAAGTATAGTGTGTGTGTGCAGGGGTGTATGTATATATGGATGGACACACGTATATAAAAGCAATTAAGCAGTTCTAGTCAAAGCCAGTTGTAAAGGATTAAGCTGTACAGAATAATTTATTGCATGTGAAAAGCTCAGGATATGAGGATGTAATGGTCGCTGGCAGAGATCTGGCCGAGCTGCCCGCTCTGCTGCTCTCCCTGCCGCCGCAGCCTCTTCGCCCTTCCCGTGAGGGTGTCTCTGGAGCCCTCCTGCCAGCACGCCGTGCTGGGGAGGAAACCATCGCAGCCAACATCGTCACACAGCGGCTTATCGGTCTGAGCGCTCGGGCTGTCTGAGGCCGCCTGGCACACTGGTCCCACAACACTGTGCCATGGATTTGTCTGTATGAAGAGCTGAGGATGGTACATGGGACCGAGAGTGCTCCGGGTGAGGGATGTGCTCTCAGTGCTATTGCCACCAGCCTTGCTCCCGAGAGTATGGCCAGGGTCTGCAATTACCTGGAAATTTACTTTACCTGAAAATTAATGAGGCTGAAGCGCAGCACTGGGGTTATTACTGTCTGATTTTGCCATGGCAATAAAAAGGTATAAAGCCCACAGGTAATGGCTGTGAGAAAGAAATCCTGAAAAGCTCTTAATTCACCCTGCCCCCTCTTCCCCCACACATCAGCTCCCAGCACCTTGCTCTCCCTTCTCTTCAACCTTGAGCTTTTCCTTTGTAAAAAGTTAGCTCATACCTTGGCCTCGGCAAAGCAAACACTCAACGTAGCAGCTTTTTACCTAAATCATCTTAGAGACACTGTAGAGCTGGACATCCCCCAGCCTGCTCTGACCTGCTGCCGCCCCCCGGCCCCTCAGTCCCCCCAGCTCTTGCATCTCTGCACTGGGGACCTGCAGCATCCCTGTCTGTCTGTCCCCACCCTCAATGCGGCATCCAGGTGGCAGAGCTCCCCTTGACCCCAAATCCCCATTGTTTTGGTTCCCGGCACCCAGACAGGGAGTTTGTGGCAGTGAAACTTGGTGGATTGTGATAAAACGGGAGGGCTGACAGGCATCTTGTGGCCTCTGAAGGGCAGAAAGCACTGGAAAAGGATATTTCCTCAGAGTTTTGTTTGCGTAAAACCCAGCGAAATCCTTGCTATCTGGTGGATCTAACCCAGAAAGGGATTTTTCGGCTGTATTTCCAATGCAGCCTGCAGCGCAGGCGAGTGTGGGGGGCGGTGGGGGCAGCCCGAGTGAGGGCTGCTGTTGTGTTTCCAGGTGACAGATTAGTGAGAGCGTTTGGTTTGCTCTCTTGTTCCTGTTTTCCTTTTTAGAAGGGGAAAGCTGTATTGCAGAAACTTCAGAAAAGCTGTGCAATCTGAAAACAAGCTGACAAAGTCCCAGTGGTAACTGGAGCTACTGGGAAACCTGGAGCTGGTACTGCCAGTAAGGTTGGAGCCGCAATACGGGCTTTGTGGTTGGTCAGCAGGACCTATAAATATCTAACTGTGGTATTGAGGGCTGCCTAGATGTCCACCCCAGCTACTCAGGGTTGTACTGTTCCCAAAAGACACTCGCAGGTTAAAAACCACCCTTCCAGATAAGGTGCTGGTGGTGTCACCTGTCCTGTCTGTGGCAGCTGCCTGGAGGTGGGTCTTGTGAGCTGTGGCATTGGCAAGGTTTTGCTGGGGTTTCCTATTTTTCCTGTACACACTGCTGGGTTTGTGCCATCTGAAGAAGCTTTTTTCAGCCCTGAAACCTTTTTTTTTTCTTTTTTTCCTGTACACACTGCTGGGTTTGTGCCATCTGAAGAAGCTTTTTTCAGCCCTGAAACCTTTTTTTCTTTTTTTTTTTTTTTTCTCCCTCAAGCAAACAAGGAACACATGTCCTTTTGTTATTCTTATATTTTTTTTTCCATGAGAGGAGGAGATTTAGGACAGAGCGAGCTGCAGGGCAGCATGATTTTTGCCTGTCTCAGTGTTTTCTGCCCATCTCTGGTGCACTGTAAGTACCAAAGCAAATTCCTCCAGGTTGTCTGGATCTCCCCTCATCACTCTGTGACCAGCCTTGGCAATGCGATGGTAAACCACTGCCTGTTCTTCCCAGAAACGCTGCATGGGTTGGAAATGTGCATCCAATCATCAGCAAAGCTGTTTTCCATCAAGCCCCCTCTGCCTACGTTTACTTATATAATTCCCCAAGGGCTTTTTGGCATTGCAGTCATTGATGCCTTAGCCCACAAGAAGGAAACCTCGTAGCCCCTGCACTGGCTGCTGTGCAAGGGACCATGTTGGCCACGGGGCCTCTCTGAGCCCCAAACTGGGGTCCCCACCCTCTGCAGATTGTACTGTTGCTCTGAGAGCAGATGTGGTGCATAATGAGACTATTTACAAGCACTTAAAGCAATACCCACAATGCTAAAATACATGTTGAGATCATTTTATTTCCTCCCGAGTTTGAAGCCTTAAGGATGCACTCATTTTCTGTAAACGTTTCTCGGTACCCAGCAGGGCTGGGACCTCTTCTGATTTTTAAAGCAAAACAGAGAGGCTCTGGTAACATCTTAATCTACAACCACAGGCTTTAGCAGAATGCCAGATAACACAAGACTCTTAATAATGACACGACACAGCAATGCCAGCTACTAGTTCCCCCTTCTGTGACTTGCCCTGGGTCTCTGCGAGCAAATGTGCCCTGGGAGATGTCCTTCATCCTCTTCGCTTGTGGCATATCCAGTCACAGTCTGTCTTCCAAGTGTTCATCCCCCCCATAATCAGCTGAGCATTCCGTAGCTCCTGGGAGTCAGGTGCACTCCACTGCTCAGCTCTGGGTGCTGTTGTTGATAGCATGATCTGACCCCAGTTTGTTTGAAAACTCCCTTTAACACTGATGTGGATATAGGTTAATACTCTTTGCTTGATATACATCGATAACATTAGTCTGGCAGTCCAGATCAGGCTAGACTAGGTCCAGATGATTGACTTTTTTGCTATGGAAAGAGGTTCAGTTTACATGGAGATAACTAACTGTCCTGATCCAGAACTTCGTGCAAGCATGGTGGATGCTGTCAGTCATCGCAGGCTGCAGGTAGCTGCAGTTGGGGCTGAAACTCTGCAAATGCTATCTCCCCAACCTGTGCTGAGGCTGAGCTGCCTGCTTACAACACAGAATTCGGAAGGATTTTCAGAAATGGCAAATACATAAAACCACTGAAACAACAGAAATGAGAGGGACCCAAACCTGGCTGCAGTTGAGCACAGGAGAAGTACTGGCATCAGCGATGGCTGTTTCAGTTATTTTAACAATACAGTGTCCTCCATCGTAATAAGGCAAACAGTCCCCAACAGTGACAACACAACCAGCAAACTTCTTTTTCATAGAAGTGTCCTTCTGGCATCTGTTGCACACAAGGGTAATTCAGGATGTATTTGGAGACCTAACGCAGTCTTCACTCGAGCTATGAGAAGCACCTACATGGACAGAAATGGGTTAAGTTTCAAGAGATGGACTCCAGCAGAAGCTCGTCAGGCGGCATTGGGGGGATTTCCATGCTGTTTATTCGACCAAAGAACTTAGGAAGAGACCAAAACTTGAGACGTGGAAGATTTCTCTTCTTCATATGAATGTTGTCACCAGTTTCGGTGACGGAGAGGCTGCTCCCACGGCGCAGGAACCGAGCGCGCAGAGCAGCACAGCTGTGGCGCAGCAGCTGGTCCTGGAACTCGGAGGTCATGAAGTAGTAAAGGACTGGATCCAGGCAGCAGTTGAGGCTCGCCAGGCAGAGGGAGATGGGGTGGAAGCGGAGCGTGCTCCTGTGAATGGCACAGTCCCGGATGATGTTCTCTATCACCATCATGAAGAAAGGGAAGTTGATGTGGTAGGGGGTAAAGCAGATGAAGAAGACGGCCGCGCACATCAAGACCATGCGCAAAGCCTTCTGCTTCTCACTGGCGTTTTGTAGCTGTGTTGGACACTCCCGCAGGGACTGCCACATCTTCCAAGTGCAGCAGGCGATGATACCGAAGGGGATGACAAACCCAAACAGCTCGGCCACTGTCACCAGTGCGATGGAGGCTCCCGGGCTCAGCTGCTTCACCCCCAGGTCTGAGAAGCACGTGTTCGTGCTGTTGGACAAGGCTGGGCTCCGCACTATGAGCAGGGGTAGGCACGCCGCCCCGACGAAGAGCCAGACGGCAGCACTGATGGCTGCGTCGTACCGCCGCTTCCAGTCCTTGGCTTTGAAGGGATGGAGGAGGAAGAGGTACCGCTGGATGCTGATGCAGGTGAGGAAGCAAATACTGGCGTACATGTTGAGATACTTCAGGTAGAAGCACACCTGGCAAAGAAAACTTCCAAAGGGCCAGGTGTGATTTATGTAGTAATACATCCGTAAGGGCAGCGAGAGGACATGAGCCAGGTCGGCCACGGCCAGGTTGATCATGAAGATGACGGCTTTGCTTTTCTTGCTGATGAAGCGGCACAAGACCCACAGGGCAGCGCTGTTTGCCAGGAGGCCGGGGATGAATATGAGGGTGTATGTGGTTGCATACAGGGTGGACTGGAAGGACATCTGGGGATCGGTGCAGTTCCCGGAGGATGTGTTTCTCTCCATCTCAGCTGAGTCTCTTCACTCATGGAGTGATTAAAACAGGTGGAGGGTTTCTGTAGGGAGCAAAAACAGATGCCGTAAAGTCAACACCTTCCCAGTATTTCCCCACATAGAGTAAATGAGCTTCATAACAAAAGAGTAAGTTGTGTGTAGGGGGGTGTGTGCGCAGGTGTATGTGCAAGATGGTGTGTGTGTGTTGGGAAGGGCACAGAGCCAGACCCCACTTACAGGCAGTGACCCCGGGCATCTTCCACTCAGCTCCTTTCAGATGTGCTCTGCAGGATTCTGAACCCAGCCACCCCCTAAGGCAGTGCCACAACTGCAGTGACATTGCAATTGAGCTCTGTAGCATTAATCTCTTTATTGCTAATGCCAGAGAGCTTCTTCAGCTCCCCAGGGTTTTTCAAGACCACTTTTATTGCATATAGTTTTGTGTCAAACCACTGTCAAATTAGTTCTCTCTGATATGTCTACAAGCAATTTCGGTGGGATTGTAAATAAATAGGGACTTTAAATGGGTCTAGACATGGTCTTTTTGGATCCATGCAGTGGTCTGATGTGAATCGGCAGCGAGGGCAATAATTAGCATCGGCAAACGATGGTGCTGGCAGGCAGCCGACCAGAGCAGAGGCCAGTGGGAGAGGTGCAGACAGATCTATCAGAGCTCTGGCTCCAGACTTGAGGCTGGATTTATAAGCTAATAGCTGGCCGAACACACGCCAGTTGCTCTGTTGGTCCTGCTAACTCAATTCCGGCACTCATGGCACATTGTGCAGGCATCGTGTTGTAGCAACAGAAATTATTCTCCAGCAACAGTTCAGGACATGAAGGAAGATAAATACATCTGCCTTTTAGTTAGATCAGAAATTCTTTTCATCCATTTACCCATTTCGCCTCACCCAGCCAGTGCTGAAGGTATTAGTAGGTCATGGGGAGTTCACAGGTACTTGTGCAGCTCTCCAGAGAGTTGATGGATTTTGCCATCCGTGAGTAGACCCCCCAGGGAAACGGTCGGCCCTTTCGGGAAGAGGCGATGTGGCAGCAGGAGGTTACAAACCGAGGGCCTGTAGCATCATCTACAACAAAAAAGTGTAATTTTCCCCTTGGAAACGGAACCTGTAGCTGCCTGCGAGGTGTCAGGCAGCCTGCCCTTCCCCTTCTGGAGACCAGAGCCTGATCTGGCAGAGCCATGAGCACTTCTTGCTGTTGCCACTGAGCCCCTTGACACTGGTATTTAATTAAACAGCAGCCAGTGGTGCTGTTTGCCACAGGGATGGGTTTCTAAAAGCTAATTGCCTGTGGTGGGGACCAGGCTTTTGTGCAGAGCCTGGCATTGCTTTGAGGTGTGGGGTGAAGGCTCCTCTAGCCTGCTCCTCCTCACTGAGGCAGCTTTTCAGAGGGGTTTTCAGTTTCAGGAAGAATGTTAAATATATATATATATGAGTGTGCGTGTATAAAAAATATAGCCAGCAGCCTTTCGGCTGGCTGCCCCCACCTGCACCTCCAATGCAAGGAGGGTCGGTGCGTGTACCCACACTTGTGTGCCTGCGCAGTGCCCTGGCTTCCGAACTGAGCCTTTGCCAAGCTGCCTTCTCCCACTTGCTGATTTCTCCAGGATTTGGCTGCAAAAGAGCAAGGCTGAAGTGAAACCCTGGCTGCTGGGCTAGTGCACCTTTTGGCTGCTGACTCTGCTCGAGCCAGCAGCCCTGGGTCAGAGGTTTCCAGTTTCTCCAGGGCAGGACAAGGCAGGGGAGCAGGGACATCTGTCACGAGAGGACAGTGGGACACAAAGCCCTTGGTCCCTGCAGCACCCTCGCATGCTCCTCACCTGCCTGAAAACCCATGAAGGGCTCGTGCTCAGTGCTAGCCCTGCTTTTGGCCGGTGCCCTCTGCACCAAGTATGCTTAACCTTGGAAAAGTGCTGGCAGGACACCTTGTCTTCACATCTCTGCAGAAAATAGGGAGGGAAAACTGTCTGGGAGCATGGGTAATGCAGCTGAGCCCAGCTGTTGTCATGGCCTTGCAGAAACAGAGATGGCACTTGTGGGTCTGGGCCTGTGAAAAGGACTATAGAGTACCCAGTGTCCCTGTCCTGCCATGTATATCAACCCAAATCCTAAACCTTGTCCTGGGAGATGTGACCATGGGGAGCCTCCTTGCTAGTATTCTCGATTATTAATTTTTGGCTTTCCCTAGGAGTGCCTATTGCTCGGCGAGAGAGGCAGGTGTCATTCCTGGTGCCTGTGGCTTTCAGCTTTTCGGTGACAGCGCTTGTCAGGGCACCTGGCAAGAAAGCAGCGGGGAGCTCCGTGCCGAGACGCTGCCGGCCTGGGCTCAGGCCACTGCTCATTCACTACAGTGCTTCCTGAAAGGGTGGAATTTCTTTATTTGTTATTGTTTTTCAGTTTTCATCTTCCCTCCTGCTTACGCCTTGCCCCAAGCCCTTCCAGGTCAGTCCCCCTGTGTTTTGGTGTCGGTGATGCCGGTGTTGGGGCAGGGATGCTCCCCGGGACTTTGGCAGGGGTTTTCTTTAGCAACTTCATAAAGATTGTACAAAACATTCCCTGCTACTCCTTGTTTCTCTTTCTATTTCATGCATGCATGGATTTATGCACCGGCAGGAGGAAGGGGGGTGGGGGGCTTTTTTTAAGTGGCAGAGCTGTGTTTTATCCAGCTGCGTGCTGAAATTGCAGAGGGGAGACTGGTATCCCTGCCAGAGGGGAAAGACCACCGGTTGCGGATGTAGCACTGCTATTCATTAAACATCAAGTAACTTTGCAATTAATTAGGAGGTTAAGGCAGCTATTAAAACACTGATGTTTCTTTTTTCTGAGTATGTTAGCAGTATCTGTTCCTGGAGGCGTATGTGGCTGTCATTATTGGAAATCGCCTGGCTACTCTGAATCACCCTGCGCCCCACCCAGCCCTACACTGCTGCGGTATTGCATTTACTACTCCCAAATTCGCTGGCAAACTCGCCCTCATCTTTTCCATGGGCTGGTTGGAGAAACCAGGCTAGAGCTGTGCTCCAGGGGTGGCTGGGGCAGCCCCCGGCTGCGGGAACCCCAGAGCTGGGGGACTGGGGCACAGCTGCCTCCTTCAGCCCTGCTCAAGCCTGGGATGCTGGAGGGAAAAGCAGTCTGGAGGAAAAAAAAAAAAAAATCCACTTTTGGCTTGAAATAAGCTCTGGATTTGAAGTAGTGGAGGCTTTCTGGCACTTGTGTTTTAAGCAATAATTTTGTTTGTTTAATCTAGGCACTAATAGGAAATGCGTAAACAGAGCTGGTCAGTTATGGCAGCTTCTGGCAGTAACAAAAAAGATGAAGTATTTTTGGTAAAACAGGCTTTCTGCATGTACTGCCGCACACAGCAGCCTGCTCGGATGCACTGAGCTCTGCTCACCCACCCCTCGGAGCTGAGCGAGGCAGAAATACGTGGGCACAGTCAGAAGCTGCTCAGGATGTTGTACCAGCTTCTGCCTGATAAGATCTCTTGAAGAAGAAGGAAGAAAAAAAAAAGTGATAACATTGCTCAAAACTGCAATCGTTTCAATCTACTAAAGAAAGCACACAGCAGAAATCAAGCTTACCTTCCTGTGACTCCCATCCTTCGGGGGGGCGACATCCATACTAGAGAGCAGGAGGAGCGAGCTTTCTGCTTTTATTTCCTACCGATTTTCGCAGCAATCCCAGCCCCAGCGACTCCTCGTTAAACTTCCACATGTTTTCGGAGCGCTGGAATCCTCCCGGCATCTGCAGCCCGGTACAGTGGCTGCAGAACAGGAAATCCTGTATTTTGTTTCTCTTCACCACACAAAACGTGTACAGCTAATGACGTTAAAACAACTGGGAAGACGATGACGTCGTTTGATCCAACTGCCGGGCGATAGAGATCTCGGACACGGATTTCTTTCCTCCTCTTTGCACATAAGTTGTGTTAGGGGAAGGTGTCCTTCGGCTGAGCTGCTTCTGCTTTTATACACACTCACTTGCCATTTGCTTGCTGAAAACTATAAACTACAGAAGCAAGTATCTTCCAATAAGTGCTCGCTAAAGGAAAACTGAAAACTGTGCCAGTGTAAGTTACTGGAAGGTAGTAATTTTCCTTCATTTTCTTGGAAGTTTGGTTAGCCTCAGACTGTCAAGGCTATAGGCTAAAGCTAAGGGTTTAGACTATATTTCTGAAATAATATGATGGTTTAAAGTGGAGATTTTCTCAAAATACTGTTGTTCAAAAAAACCAAAAAAGCTTCATGTGCATCATTCCAAATTTATTTTCTTTTTTTTCCTCCCTTAATCCCTTTCATATATATATATATATATATAAAATTTTTGTATCTTTTACTGACTGCTAAGCAAGATCTTCTTTCTGAATTGCTGAAAACTGGCAGGCATATATTGTAGTGTAACTTACTACGAGCTGCCTCATTTCCAGCTGAACAGTTTTAGGTGATATACAATGTCACATGTTATGGCCCAGGGCTTGCAAAGATAATATGGCTGTTGGCATCTTTCCCTTTCTTACTGTGGGTAACGTATAAATAGAACTATTCTTGCTCTATTCATCTATTTTCTGTAATTGGTCCAATGACCCCGCAAAATTAACAGAAACATAACTATGGAAGAGAAATGAAAGAAGGAAGCTATTATAACCTTTAATTGTAGAATAAGTCACCAGCTCAGGGTCTGGGATCAGGCGTGCATCTTTCCCCACAGCAGCGGAGCCCACCGGCTCTGCCGGCTGCGCAGTTGCCAGGGTTTCTCCGTGCTGGCAGCGACGCTGACCGCGGGGACCTGAGTGCACTCCCGTGCCACGAAGTGGTGCTTCACGACAGTAGTATAGAGAACGAAGAGGATCCTTGACTTGTGGTCGGTGGAGACGCAATTACTTAAATCTGTTGCTCAACGTCCTCACGAAGGCAAAGGCAAGACCAGTTTATATACCAGCCTGTACAGACAGGTCTATGGGCTTCTTCGTTACCACTTAGCCATCATGTAAACGTA